AAAAAAGAAAAACTACATTTTGAAGGAGACTGCATTAGTTCACTTTCTTCTTTGTATTAGTTATACTGCCTTTAAGTTGGCATTATTCAATACCTACTGACATGGTAGGTCCACTGATTTTGTGTCTGGTCAAAGCTTGCCCTGTTCACTGCTCCTTGTTTGATGGGGCATCTCTGACTTCATCTTACTAGATATCCAAAACAGCACACTCCCAATCAGGGACATCAAAGATGCCGGCAGACTTTGCCACATGTGCAAGGAGGAGGGGTGTGGGGGTAAAACCAGCCCTTGGTTGAATTTAGGTGGTGATTGTTCTCCTGCTTTCAACTGTCACACTAATGATGTATTTGCATCTCAGCCTACACTTTCTCCAGAGCTCTAGGCTCACGTGATAAATAGCCAGATTGGCTGAACAGGATGAAGATCAAGTCAACCCAGGCTGATATTTATATTCCATCTGCATTCATTCTTTTCAGGATCCAAGTCAATTTTTTTTTCCATGCTTCTGGTTGCAAACTGCTGTTGAATTATTTTATGCATAGAAAAGTTTCTTACAAGGGGAAAAAAGAGAAAAAAAAAAGAAAGACAAGAGAGGCAGGAAATAGTCCCATCCTTCCTTCCTTCCTTCCTTCCTTCCTTCCTTCCTTCCTTCCTCTCTCCCTCCCTCCTTCCTCCCTCTCTCTCTTTCTCTCTCTCTTTCTCTCTTTCTTTCTTTCTTTCTTTCTTTCTTTCTTTCTTTCTTTCTTTCTTTCTTTCTTTTCTTTCTTTCTTTGAGATAGGATCTCACTATGTATTCCTGGTTGTCCTGGACTTGCTACGTAGACCAGGCTAGTCTCAAATCACTAGATTCCCCTGTCTCTAACCACACCTGGCAAGAAATATAATTTTTTCTTTGTGAGCCTTCCTATTCTCCCCAGTAGCAAACTAGGCACATCTTTAGCGTGTCAGGGAAATGTACGAATTCAGAAACAGACTGTTGAATTATCTGGCATCACTCATAGGCTATCCTAAATTGTGAATTTAAATGTGTCAACAATTCTCTGTGTGGGTTTTTTCCTCTTATTTTCTTATTTCCCCCAAATCTAATAAGTTCATGCTCACAGCAGAAAAATATTTAAGTTCTTTTTTATATATGTTGTGTATGTATGGTGTTTATATCCCCCTCCCACCACATTGAGACCAGAAGGTGTCAGGTCTGCTGGTGCTGGAGTTACAGGGAGTTGTGAGTCACCTGACATGGGTGCTATGAAACAAATTGGGGTCCACTCTCTTAACACAGAGCCATCTTTCCAATTCCATAGTAGAAACATTTTGAAACATAAAAAGATTCAATAGAAATTTATGGTTATTCATGAATTGGTCACTGAAATGGTTTTATTTTCTGTTTCACATCCTTATACCTTTAAAAATTTAGAATCATGTTAGCTGTATAATTTTGTTTTTGAACATTTTAATCATAATGTTAGAAAGAACTTTATGACTGAAGAATTATAATTTGCTTCATTTCATTATTCTTTGGAAGAGTTTTTAATGTTTTAGTATTTTTAATGTTGAAGAAAACATTCTCATCCCAAATGTTTTAGAACATCTCCATTTCCTCAAGTTAGACTCATAGAGGAGTATGAAATACGACTAGGTCCCCGACACAGGTTGCTACAGTGCATCCAAGAATAACTATACTGCTTCCCACATCCCGTCCTCAGCAATGTATAAGATAATCCTCTTAGCTTGCTCTCATCTTTATTACAAAGGCATTTTATTTTATTATGTTCTTGCCCAGGCTGCTGAGATGGCTCAGCAGGTAAAGGCGCTTGCTCTGCAGTCTTGGTAATCCCTTGAAAGTGGAAGGAGAGAATCAATTTCACAACGTTTTCCTCTGACCTCTCTCTCACACACAAATAACAACAGTAAAAGCTGTCTGTCTTCTGTGTTACCATTTTTGTTTCATCTAAAGTTGGACAATATGATTTGTGCCTTTAGGAAGTGGACTGTCTACTGCTCTAGGGGAAAGGCTGATACCAGTACTTGGGGAGGCCCAGACTGGGTTCTCATTCTCATGGGCAAGACTTTGATAGGAGTTCGTATCTCTATCTCCCTTATGCTCAGGGGCCTCCTACAAGCCCCTCCCTCAGGGGCCTCAAGATCTTTTTTATTACTATTACTATTATTATTATTGTTGTTGCTACATCCAATTTTCTCTCAAGAGAATGTTTAATGATGCTGGGCCTGGCTGAATTCCTTAATCGCAGCTTGGAGAATGTAGCACGCTTCAGTCTGCATGGACACATTTCTACAGTGACAGCCATGTCTGCAGAGAATCAAGAAACAAAGCCCACTGACAGGCAAGCCTGGGTTAGCTCTGCAGCATACTCTGAGTTCCTGACAGCTTGTCTTAGTTGCCAAGGCAGCACCGAAGTCACCTTTTAAGCCATTCTGCTGTCTCTGTTCATACCTCTGTCTCCTGAGGTTGTCATCTTATCAGGCTCAATTTATTCTTAAATTTGTCAGTTGAAAAATCCTGGAGATTTGTTCCTGTTCATGGTGGCTTTCTGGAGGCTGCCATTGCCAGTAATATGCCCCTGTCTATTGCAGGGGAGCACGGACCATCTCCTTCTATGCCCTTCCCCATTCTTGAAACACATTCAAGGTGAGCATGGACAGCACATTCATGCCTTTCCTTTCCATTGGTCTGCCTGTTCCCATCAGTCCTGTCACACCTACCAATCAGCTGCTGCTCTGCAACACCCCATACCTCACCTCAAGGGACCACACATGACCTAATTTACTCCCCTTCCCTTTAAAAACAGGCACCTCTACATTTACCAAGACATCCCATGGTACCCCATTATTATGCATACTGCCTGTGTTTCACACTTGATCTTAGCTAAAAAGCCAAGAAGCTACCAAGCTTTATATCCTCATGTTACAGGTAGTGAGTAAACTTTAAAAAATAAGAAAAAAAAACCCAACTCTCAGTTGAATAAAGAGATAAGTTCACATGGCACGATGTCCAACAGTCCAAGAGGCAACTGCCTATGGTAACCAGATCTTAACATGGTTATTTTCTCTCACTAGACTTAGAAAGCAGGGCCTAGAACTGTGAACAAAGAGGCACAACCACTCCACATTCAGAAGAATCCTGTCAGTATCTCAACTAGAAAGCCCAGAATCTGACTTCTTAGTACATCAGGAGGAGGCCTGGGAATGTGAGATAGAAAAGAAAGCACAACAGTTTTATGGGGCTTAAGTGGAAAGCAAAAGCATTTCTCTCAGATATAACACCTGACCACCCTGTGGTAGTTTGAATGTAATTGGGTTCATAAGCTCATAGGGAGTGGCACTATTAGGAGGTGTGGCTTTGTTGGAATGGGTATGGCAGTGTTGGAGGAAGTGAGTCACTGTATGGGCAGGCTTTTAAGTTTCCTATGCTCAAGATACCGACTTGTGTCTCAGTCCATTTCCTGTTGGGTACAAGATGTAAGACTCTCAGCTACTACTCCAGCTCCATGTCTGCTTGCACACCACCATGCATTCCTCAATTTCATGTAGAGAATATGAAACTCATGGTATTTCTGCTGTGTTTGCAGGATTCCACTGAGTTTGTGAAATAATCTTAAGAAGTAGGATATGGGGCTGGAGAGACAGCTCAGTAATTAAGGGCTATTAGTATCTGCTCTGCCAGAGGACACAGGTTTGATTTCCAACACCACATGATAGCTCACAACTGTCTTACATTCTAGCTCCAGGGGATCTGATGCCCTCTGGTCTCTGCAGGCAGCAGGTATGCACATGGTGCACAGATATACATGTAGGCAAAACACCCATACACATGAAAAAAAAAGTGTCAGTTTTGAGCAAAGAGGTATATGCTTCAATTTCTGTTTTGAGCCTTGATTTTACTTTCTTCTAAGTCTAGAAATAAGAAGGAAAGGAAACTACTGTTTGTTAGGGATTTGAACTAGCTGGGCAGTGGTGGTGCAGGCCTTTAATCCCAGCACTGAGGAGGCAGAGGCAGGGGGGTCTCTGTGAGTTTGAGGCTAGCCTGTTCTACAAAGCAAGTTCCAGGATAGCTAGGGCTGTTACACAGAGAAACCCTGTCTCGAAAAACCAAAACCAAACAAAGAACTTGAAATAGGGCTTTAGACAGCTAGGAGGTGCCATCCTCACCAGTTCTGACTCAATGTTTCTCACCCCATTTTCTGGATGGGGAAAGGCACTAGTTAGAAACCGGCCACCTCCAGTTAGCCTTCCTTTACTTTCTTCCCCACTCCCATTTTAATTTCAAATGTCTTGTTTCCAAGTCAACTTTTCTCAAAGTGATAGCCCTCTTCTTCAAAATCTAATTTTTAAATCACAACCCTAATGTATTTTTAAATTCTCTTTTTCTTTTCATTTTTCACTTATCATCAACCACTTGTTAATTCCTCATCTCCATGGCTCTTGGATTTGAACTTCTCTTTATAAAAGTTGAGGCTGCTGACATTTTAAAAAATGATTTAGTTTTGTTTTATGTGCATTGATGTCTGTGTGAGGGTGTCAGATCTGGATCCCCTGGACCTGGAGTTACGGACAGTTGAGCTGCCATGTAGGTACTGGGAATGAACGCCAGTCCTCTGTAAGAGCAGCCAGTGCTCTTGACCACTGGAGGCTGCCAACATTTTGACATCAGGTATATATGCAAATTATTTAATTCCCACAATCCTAGGTTTTCCCATTTACAAAGTACAAGACAATAAAAATATTTTTTTTTGCAATATTTGGACTGATACCTGGCTGAACCTGTTTGGTTCCATTAATGTGGAAATAAGGCTTTCAATTCACTTTCTGCATATTTCAGAACAATTTTCTTAGCTCATATGTAATTTTCTCTTACTGCATATATCACAGCTTCCTATAAACTGGCATATCTTGGTTTCAGTGGTTTTAAATACATTTATTTGTTTGCATATGTGTGTGTGTGTTTGTATGTTTACCTGTTGAGACATATCAGAGACCCTCAGTATGTTTTTAAAATTCAGGTTTATTGTGAAGTATGACTTCTGTGTTTTTATATAAATAACCAGGAACAAATTCTCTAGCTGAATATGCTGGAAAGACAGATTATCCAATTGATCTATTCATGCATACCCTTGAAGAATAATTTCAAACATTACATTCTTTATGAAACCTCACTGGCCTTTCCTAGTTGTAGCATTGTTTGACTGCCTTGAGCCTAACTCCTGCACAGCTCATTTTGTGTAAATCTGTTGGTATGTTTGGTTTCTATACCTGATGTGAGCCCAGTGTTTCACAGTACCTAGCAAGGGACCACTTATAGAACAATTACTTAATAAACATTAAAAGGTTGGATGTGCTAGACTGTCTCAATCTCCCCACTGTCTTAATTCGGAGAGCGCTTAGAAGCTAAGTCTTAGATTTTCCATTTAGGTGAACTGCCTTGCATTGTTCTTCCATCCTTTCAGGTGGGTACTGAGATTAAATCATGATGCCTCGACTGTGGTATTTAACAGATCCTCAGTTTTTTTCATTTCTAAAATATAGATGTCCTGCATATATTTTGTATCAATTTGACACAAGCTATAGTCATCTGAGAGGGGTGAATCTCCATTGAGAAAATGCTTTCATAATATAATGCTGTAGGCAAGCCCGTGGGGCATTTTCCTAATTAGTGATTGATGTGGGAGGGCCCATTGTGGGTGAGGCCACCCAAGGCTGGTTCTATAAGAAAGCAGGCTGACAAAGCCAGGGGAAGAAAATGAGTAAGCACAAGTAACACTCCTCTATTTCTTCTGCATCAGCTCTTGTCTTCAGGTTCCTGCTCTGACTTCTCTCAGTGATGGACTGTCACCTAGAAGTGTAAGCCAAATAAACCTTTCCCCCTACAAGTTGCTTTTGATCTGGTGTTTCATCACAGCAATATTAACCCTAACTAGGACAGCAGGTAATAGTACCTCATATTGTGAAAGTGTGTGAAATAAGATTATAAATAAAATGTTCAGTACAATTCATAATAGAGTGTGTGCTCTGTATTAGTCAAGGTTCTTGAGGAGAACAGAATGAATTGAAGGAATATACATTTAACAAAGGAGATTACACGAGTTTGTATGATAGGAGCTGGGAAGTCCAATAGCTGGGTTTTTTTTTTGAACATCAGAGAGGTTGAGAATCTTGTAGCTGCATAGTCCACAGGGCTGGATGCTTCAGCATTTCCATTCTGATGGTGAAGGGCTGGAGGATTTCTGTCAAGCACTTGATCTTCAGTCTGTGTTGGAAGAGAAGCAGCTGGATTCTGATGGCTGTGAAGTATGGAACTGACCAGCAAGAGGTGGCGGCCAGCAAACAAAACACTGCCTTTTCCTTTGAACTCTATGTCTAGCTTACCTTGGGAAGGTACTGCACACTCTGGATGAGGGTTAGGTCTTCTCCTTTTAGTTAATCCTTCCTTGAAATGCCCTCACAGACCGAAGAGTCCAGATCTAGTCAGGTTGACTATAATAAAGGACAAGTATCTCATGCTTCTCACAACGTGGGAGAAGCATTTTGTAAGTTTATATGCTGCTTACATATGTGCCATCTCCCCAGGTCATATAGGAATTGAATGACAAAATAAACAAACAAACAAAAAACAAAAAGACAAGGAGGACATGACTGCTCCTAGGTATGGTGGACGAGGTGGTTTATTGTAGATATGAGGGAGAAAAAGCCAGAGGCAGAGGCATCTAGAAGGGTCTAGAGTAGACATGACTGGCTGACTGAGCCAAGCCATGTGAAGGCTAGGAGTGGGGTGGGGTGTGTGTGGGGGTGATGAGCCAGGAGCCAAGAGGCCAGGAGACCAAAAGAGGGCTGGAGTAGCCAAAATACCTGGATTATATAGGGAAGAGCAGCTGGGCAAAGCACAGCCTAGCCTCTGTACAGGAGAGTTCAGGGAAATATGGCTGGCTATGCCAGCTAGGAGGACCCTGTAATGGGAAGGGACTGGGAATGCTGGGAAAACCTGTTGGCCAGCATCAGCTTTGATATGGTAATAAGCACCTCGGTTAACAGTTTGTCCTGGGTTTGAGACCTAACAGGCATGGCTGTGAATAGTCAATGGAAATGTACTCATGGACTAATATTGTTTTTGGCAGCTTAAATGATCACTACCTTTATTTTTATCTTCTCCAAACAAGGTTAGAAGCCTGTTTTCCACTTTTACTTTTGAAGTTCAAGTTCCTCAGCAAGTCACACAAAATGCTCCTACCTCTGCCCAACTTCTTTTGCACAGTGTGTTAAGTCTCATACCCGGGGATAAGCGGCTGAGGTGCCTGTTTAACATCAAATCGGACCTGGCTGCCAGGTTCTCCCAGCATCCCTCAGTCAGTACCTGTTACAGGGTATGTATGCCCTCCAGCCCAGGGTTTGAGCTGCCGTTTTTCCCCAGACGCTTGTCCCTGTGTAAGCCAGCCATTTTGGTTACCCACCCTTTTTGTACCTTTGCCCTCTTGGATGCTGCACCTGGTTCCCCTCTCTCCCTTCCCCTTTAGCATCCCTCTCCCTCCTCACATGGCTCAGGGTCGTGTCCACTTCGGACTCTCCCAGTTAGATGTCTCTGCCTCTCACTATGCTTTCCCTTTTATCTACAATAAACCTTTCTCTCCACCATTCCTAGGAGCAATCATGTCCTTCCGTTTTTATTTCTTCTTTTCATTCACAATATTTCCTTGGTTGTATTCTTCTCAGAATTTATTCCAAGGTTATGTGCTTGGGTAGTGGGTGTTCAGTACGGATGTTCGACACTGGCAGGTCTAGTATTGGCTAGGCTTTTTGCTGAGAGCGAGGCCTGCATCCCGTTTGCTTCATTTCATTGTGCAGAACTTCATTTAAACTTTTCGCCTTGGCTAATTCCCTCCTGACATTTTGGGGATGTAGCATAATTAAATTAGGCTTCGTTTGTTTTATGGAAGACCGCTGCTGCTTTCGGAATGCATGGAAGGGAGACAGCCTTTGCCAGTGTCCTACTTTTTGCTCACTAAAATCATAAATTATGTTTATATAACTCTTGCCTTGTAGCCTGACTGTAAAGCGGTCGCTCTGGATCCTCTGGTAGCTAACCTTTTTCTTTCTTTTTTTCTTTTCATGCATCATTACAATGTAAAATTTCCACTTACAGTTAGAAGATGGTATGACACAGGAGCAACCTAGGAAGGCTAAACAGACTCAGGTGGAGTCTTTCAAAGCCTGTTGTATGGAAACCCTGGGAAGATGAAAACGAATTAAAATAGGTGGCGTTCCGTAATTTGCCGTCTATTTTCTCAGTTCCGAAAAAGATCTGAAGTAGCGCTGAGGGAAAGCCCACAGTGCACCATAACACACTGGGCTAGCAGCCAAGAGAGGAGCAGGGCAAGCGCTGGAGGCTGGGTGCTAAAGGCCTTTGGCATCCCCCCAGGTCGGGACTGTCCCTGGGGTGACCACGCCGAAGGCGGCGCGCAGGGCCCGGGTGGCCCATCCTACCGGCTGGCGTCCCTCCTGCCCTCCGCCCCGGGCGGGGCCCACAGCCCGGAGCCCGGCGCGCCGGGGGAAGGAGTTTCCGGCGGACCCGCCTCCCAGGCGCTTCCTGTTCTGCTCTCCGCACCGCCTCCTGCAGTGTCCCGGGACGGCGCTGGGCCCCGCAGCCCCGGGAGGTCCCCCGCCGTGCCACCTGCACCATGCAGTCCCGCCTCCTGCTCCTCGGGGTCCCGGGCGGCCTGGGTGATGTGGCGTCGCGGCGCGTGCGGCTGCTCCTGCGGCAGGTGGTGCGGGGCAGGCCGGGCGGGGACCGGCAGCGGCTGGAGGTCAGACTGATGCAAACCGCGGGGACCGACTCAGGTAACTGGGCCGCCGCCTTCGCTGCTGCTGCTGCCGCCTCCCTTTGCTGCTGTGTGATGTGGGGCAAAGCGCTGGCGCCCCCTGGGCTCCACTCTGAAACCGGAGGGGTCTGGACTAAAGTCTGTGATGTCTATGAACACTGCTTTTTTCTCCCGCTGGAGGTTTTGTTACAAGAACCCTAACTTAGACTGGAGCACACTCAAGAGTTTTATGCAGCAGCCCTTGTGGGCTGTTAAAACCCGCACCTGACCTTGATCTTTCACTCCCAAGGGCTCAACAGCCGGTTTTGTGTCATGAGCCAAGTAGGGCTTGTGATGATGGCATAGACACGTGTGCATTCTTGCTGGACACCTGTGTCCATGGACTTTCCCAAGTTTAACAGGAGACTCTGTTTCAAGCGTTGTTAGAACTGAAAGTCATAGATTTAGTTAAAACCCTTGACAACAGGTGGAATGAATGAGTCCCAGAAAGAAAGAAAGAAAGAAAGAAAGAAAGAAAGAAAGAAAGAGAGCCTTGCTGACGACTACACAGTGAAATTGCAAAACTTACCTTTCCTCAATTATAACTTATAGAGCATTTATTCGTTTTCCATTCTGTTACTCACTTCGCATCCATGTCACAACTTACAGAAAAAAAGAAAGCAACTTAAAACAAGGAAAGTTTTTTTTTTGGCTAGCAGTTAAGGATGTTTCAGTGTATCCTTGCTATGGCCTGTATTGAGGCAGAAAATCATGGTGGCAAAGTGGTCTTAGCTGAGCGAAGCCGCTTTCTCAGGGGGACAGAGAGGCATCGGCGATAAGAGCTATTTTTCAAAGACAGGCTCTGGTTTGTCTAACTAGGCCCCAACTCCTTGCTTGTATCATTTCCAGATAATGTCACCTCATTAACTTTGACTCCATCAATGGACTGATCTGTTGATTAGATCAGAGCCCCAATCTCTCAGGGGCTGGATCCAACAGTTTGAATCCCTGAGGTTTTAGAGTTATATGTCCAAATGATAATACACTCTTCTGTCCAAAAAGGCAGAGGTCAAGGGTGGAAGCCTGACATAATCTGGCAGGTTTGGAGTTGAGCAGTTTTGAGTGGAATCCATTTTTGTACTCTGTAGCTATCAGAGCCGTGAGTAAACAGATAGAGCATTCAGTTGGAAAGAAGTTTTTAAAAAATGAAAATTGTTCTCTGTATGGAATACTATACTACATACTGGTTGTAAGAATATGACAAACACATATGGGTATGGACCTGAAAAGTCTGTTAAAATAGGTAGTAGATGGTATCTGTTAGTGTCCTCAGGTTTGTATTCTGTTCAGTGAAGTGCAGGTGTGGCTTGGCACTGGACATACTGTGGGTAGCATTCCAACTTCTTAGGCTCAGTGGGTGGCTCTGGCAGGCCAGGCCAAAAGAAGTGCATTGTGCTAACATGCTTTTTCTTGCTGTATATAACAAAGATTGTAATACTGAAGCTATGAGAAATGTGGACGAACCAAGTTGGGAGTTCACCAGAGATAAGTAAGAGTCCTTATGACAAAATAAAAGGCAAACACCTGGCTATCCAGATGCCTAAGGTTAAGGCTTCCAAGGTTAGAGCGGGGGCATTTGGAATCAGGTCAAAAACACACAAAGCAGCAGCAGCCTCTGATGGATTGGTGTTGAGGCTGGAAAGATTCTCAGCTATACTCTGACTTGTGACCAGACTCACCATGTCCTCTGCTTGTAAATTGCCATTGCTTCCTAGCAGTGTGAAAAAAGAGCCACAGAGTTCATGCAGAACAGATTCAAGTTACCTATTTTCCTTCTCCTGCACTGTGTGCCCATTTGTCTTGTCTGTATGTTCCTTTGGTGCTTGTCAACACTTTGTACCTAATAAGCATTCAGTGGCTTACTAGGTTAAAGTTCGTGGAGAGTGTTTTTGTAAGAGGTTGCAATTGCTTTGCTGGTTTTCAAAATAGCACCTCTACTAAGCCTGATAAGAAGGAAAAGAAGAGGTCATTTATGTTAAAAAGTAAAAGGATGTTGGACAAAGTGGCACATTCCTTTACTCCCAGCACTCCTGAGGCATGCGAGTTCAAGGACAGCATGGTCTATATAGCAGTTCCTGCACAGCCGGCCCTACACAGAGACATCCTGTCTCCAAAAAGACCAAACAAATCCTCAAGCCTACTGCTGTTTATCCTTTTCTATCTAATGTTGTGGAATCTACAACTTGTAAATTCTTTATCATTTTATGCTTTAATTATTGGTAGTGATACCACTTGGTTTTAAAGACAAATTGTTAGTCAGCAAGGAGGTAATCTACTTCACTGAGTAGTCACACAGATCACTGTGACGCTATCACAGATGAAGCTACCAGGCTGGTTCAGTAGGACTGAATGTTGCAAAGTGATGAGCTTGGAAACAACTCTATATACATCATGCCATTTCCCACGTTCCTCTGCCACCGTTTACTATTATATAGCTTTCACTGCTTTTCCCTTACCATGTCTGTGTATGAAATAGATCTGTTTATAGAAAAACTAAAATGTTTCTGTATGAGTCATTTTTGCACTTAGAAAACTGAAAAATACAAATTCTGTAAAACAGTCCCTTCATCACATTAACAATCATCAGCATTTTGGTATTGATCCTGTCAGATTATGTATATCTAATAATGTATCTCAGTATACACAGGTAATGATTTTTTGTAATTTATCATCACATCCATGAGAACATTAACATAATATTGCCCTGTATGATCACTTACATTAGGCATTACGTTCAGATATTTACCCCTATAATTATTTTACCAGTTTCTCATTCTAGGACATATAAAGTATCTATTTCAAATATTTTTATATAAAAGCAATGAAAAAAGACATTCATGCCTATACATCTTTTGTGACTTCAAGATTGTATCCTTGGGCCATAATAGAAATAATCATGTGACTTTGGGGAGGAAAAATTCAGAATTCTGTTTTCAACTGAAAACAGCTGTTATGGTTTAGTTTTACCTGTATATTTACCAGATATTGTATCTTGTGGAATTCATTGTCTACTTTGACCTACAACAGAGTATTTTTGACTCAGAATCTTCTGGTTCAAACATGAATTAAATAATTTAACAGTAATATCCAGAACAGTTGTAACCTTATAAATCATTAGGAAGATTCATCTCAGGAACACACAGACTTAAGACGGTCATTATTGATACATTCAAGTTTTTGTTTTTGTTTTTGTTTTTGTTTTCTATAGTAGACTTGACGGTCCTAGAACTTGCTTTGTACACCAGGCTGGCCTTGAACTCACAGAGATCCTCCTGCCCCTACCCCCTGCATGCTAGGTTCAAAGGTGTGTGCCACCACTGCTCGGTGACACCTTTTGTTGCTTTTTAAAATCTGCTCTGTGTTTTGTGTACTTCTTAAAAAAAATGATGTGGGCTGGGATATGGCTCAGTGATAGAGTGCTTGCCTAGCATGTGCACGGTCCTAGATTCAGTCTGTAGTACAAAAACAACAAAAGGCAAAATTGATGTTACTAAACCATTGGTTTTTAGCCTTATGTGATTTTCCTCACCCTGGGGACTTTGGCAATACCTGAGACGAGCCAAGAGAGAGGGATGTTATTGGCATCAGTGGGCTTAGGCTGCTCCTGCTACAAGTACAGGATAACATCTCAAAATAAGAAATTACCCAGTCCAAAATGTCAGTAGTGTCACCATTGAGAACCCTGAACCGAGCCAGCTTATCCATGTTGCTGTTAAAATATGTAACAATTTAAGTTTAATAGAACTGGTAGCTCAAAGCCGAAGAGACTCAGAGAGATGCTAACAGTGTGGACAAGCAGCGAACAGACCACACAAGTCAGGTGTGGGAACAGCTTGGTTACAGCACAGCATTTGCTTTATCTGAGCCCAGTCTGATCATTGACAGCTGGTGAGTTAGTGTAACTTAGCTACTGTGACTGGCTCAGACTCACTTGTTACAAAAGCCAAGTAGGATGGGTTTTCATTAGTGTAGGACTCAAAGTACAAAGGTATCCTCAGTCCAAGTTGACTTTAACATTACAATCACATCCTGAGGAAGGCTCACAGAACTGCATGCCAAGTGTGGTAAAAGTTAGCTGCTTATCAATAAAATCCATGGTCTCAAAGTACTATATGTACATTTGAGAAGGGCTCCCCAAGAATTACCTGAACTCTTATGTATATGGAAGTTTTGAGTTTGGTGAAGATATTGGAATATCTGGGCAGGATATCCATTCTTTTCAGGGGTTAGCAAACAATTAAAATTATCAGTTGTAGCAACATTTTATTATTTAGTTTTGATTCAGGGTCTCTCCACTTGGTCCTGGCTGTACTGGAGCCCACTACGTAGACCAGGGTGGCCTTGAACTCCAGAGAAGCTCCTGCCTCCGCCTTCTTAGTGCTGTGTAGCAACATTTCAAGGAAACACATGTGTTCGAGCACACGCAAACCCATATCCACTCACCCACCCTTCCCCCACACACACAATAAAAGTAAGAGTTAAAAGTAATTTTATCAAACCTGGGTGTGTTGGTGCTTGTCTTTAACCCCAGAATTTGGGAGGCAGAGGCAGAGGCAGATGAATACAATAACTGAATTCCAGGTTAGCCTGGGCTACATAGTGAGTTCCCGGACAGCCAGGGCTATGTGTAGAGACCCTGTCTCAAATAACAACAAAAGGAAATTATCAGTTTAAAATAAAACTGACAGCTATCCATTGTAAAGTTTTGTATTGATTAAATATTGAAGAAAAGAATAAAAAGTTTATGGAATTGGCTAGTGTTAATAGGCCAGAGCCATGGAGGATAGAATTGATGGAATTCTAGAGAGGAAAAAATGTGACAGATCAAATTTTCCCTTTAATATTTAATGTAAAGGAAAAAGAAAAGTGTGCTATATAAAGATCAGGGCATCTTTTGCTTTAGTGGATTTTACTCTGAAATCAACTTATTGATGAACATTTGTGAGTGATTGAATTATTTTTATTGGGATGTTTGTTTTC